CAACTACCAAGTGGGGTTATTTCAGAGGAGAATACTGATCCTTACAAAGGTGAAGAAACTTGCTAAGGTTAGTGATGGACCTAGGATTAAAAACAAGGTGTGGCAGGGTTCGGTGGCTCAGCCTGTAATCCCAGCGCCTTGGGAGGATGAGGTGAGTGGATTGCCTGAGCCCGCGGTTCAAGACCCACCCAGGCAACTTGGCGAGACCTCGTCTCTACAACAAATCAGAAATTAGCCAGGCATGGTAGCGCGCACCTGTAGCTCTGGCTATTTGGAAGGCTGAGGCGGAAGGACCGTCGGATCCCAGCAGGTCGAGGCGGTGATGGCCGGGAGCGTGCCACTGCACTCCAGCCTAGGCGACAGAGTGAGATGCCAACTCAAAAAAAAAAAAAAAAATTGCAGACTCTCAGGCCCCACCAAAAGAATCAGAATCTGTATTGAAACAAGTTCTTCAGGAGATCTGTGAGCACATTAAAGTTTTTGAAGCACTTCTCTCAAGTTTATTCCAGTACTAACTGTATTTATGTCACACTCGACTAAACTCTGTCACTTCACAGGAGAAAGGAGAGAAAGTTTACCTGTTTGCCTACTGTGCCCTTCTCTTAATCCTAACTCCTCAGCCTCTTAGACTCTCCCACGGTTAGACTAAGGTTTTAGCAAACAGCAGAGAGGCAGTGCTGCCACCTTGTGACCATCAAGTAAATACATATAACTCTTACTGGTCTCACCAGGAAAGGAGCGAGGAGTGTCAGGTGAATGGGGCATGGATGGTGAGTCCATCATAAACTAGATGAGAGAACCACTACTGCTCACAATGACTGGAAATCACCATCAGAGAGCGCTCAGCCTGCATCACAGAACAACGACCCATTTAAAAGGGCAGTTTTTATAATAACTAATGTGGTATCAGTAAAAAACTTGGTTCCAAGCCAAGCTCTGCCCTTGTAACCTTAAAAATCACTCTGAGCCGGGTTCGGTGGCTCAGCCTGTAATCCCGCGCCTTTGGGAGGCTGAGGTGAGTGGATTGCCTGAGCCCGCGGGTTCGAGACCCGCCTGGGCAGCGAGACCTCATCTCTACAATAAATCAAAAAATCAGCCGGGCGTGGTGGCGCATGCCTGTAATTCCGGCTACTCGGAAGGCTGAGGCGGAAGGATCGCCGGAGTCCAGCAGGTCGAGGCTGCGGTGACCGGGAGCAGCCACTGCACTCCAGTCTTGGCGACAGAGTGAGACTCCAACTCAAAAAAAAAAAAAAATTCACTCTGGCAGGTATTCTCAGACACACAGCCCTGGCCTGAACTTCACCAGTAACAAGGAAACTTACTTTACTGTAATAGTTCTTTCTTATTCTAAGCCAAACTGTGTCTAACACATACTCATCAATCTTCATCGTCCCTCTCTGGAGGCACCAAAATAAATCTAATGCCTTCTCAAACAACCCACTTTCAAATATTGGTAAACAACTGCCATATGCCACCCACCCTATCTTCCCTCAGTCATATCCTACATGGCGTCATCTGAAGCCCTCACACTCTACAGTCAGTTTCCCATGGGCAAGTGCAGAGCAGCAACCACAGAGGACACTCCAGATTCAGGGGGTGTTCCCAGAGCAGTAGAGCCACAGGTCCCCCGTACCACAACCTGGAACTACACCCCCCATCTGGACAGCCAAACACCACATCAGCTGATTTTAGGACACTGATTTTTCCGGATTGTGCTGCTGCTCAGTCATTCCACACCTGCATAGGTGTATACTTTTTTTTTTCTTGAGTTGGAGTCTCACTCTGTTGCCCAGGCTGGAGTGCAATGTCATGTTCCCAGCCACGGCAGTCTCGACCTGCTGGGCTCAGGCGATCCTTCCGTCTCAGCCTTCCAAGTCACTGGAACTGCAGGCTCACGCCACCACTCCCAGCTAATTTTTTGATTTATTGTAGAGATGAGGTTTCACCAACTTGCCCAGGCTGGTCTCAAACCCCTGAGCTCAGGCAATCCTCTTGCCTCTGTCTCCCAAAGTGCTCGGATTACAGGCTTGAGCCACCATGCCCGACCTAATGAATACTTTCAAATGCCTCCCAAGTTCACTGTAGAATGGGAAAACTAAATAACTGAGGCAAAATGGAGTTTTTGCCTATCTTCCCCCTAAATCCTTCCTGGGGGAAGGCCTTTGTACATTAGAGAGACTCTGTTGATGCAAAAATGTTCTCGAGAAGGGTTAGAAGAAGTTGTCAATACAGGAAATCCCCAACATAGAAACAAGTTCCGTTCCGAGAGCATGTTTGTAAGTCCAATTTATTTTGGGTCCAACAAAGTTAGCCTAGGTACCCAACTAACACAATCAGCTATTTAGCACTATATGTATTTAATGGGCTATACTGACACCTCGTGGAAAGCAATAATACATTTAAAAACACAGGTGTGCATCGCTAAAGTTCATAACTTGAAGGTTTGAGGGTGGAGGGGACCTTACTGTACCAACAAAAGAAAAGTCGATTCGTCTTGGGAGTGTTTTCCATCAATGGGCCCAAGCAACCCGAAGCCCCTTCCTATGATACACAGGACACAAAACTCACCCCAAGTTCATGGAAGGGAAACAAGAGGAGTGACCTGAAAGGGAGCAGGACCTGAAGAACAGAGTAATCAGACTGAGGGGACTTGGAGTAAGGTCTGAGGAGGAGCTCCCTGACCCTGTGGTAGCCTCAGTGTGGATGGTGGAGACCTTGACAGGAAAAGGAAGGAATCCCATTCAGGCACCAGGCATGCATGTGGTTGTTCATGGCTGCACTTTCACATACTTCCTAACACACCAGGCCTAGTTAAGAGGTTCCAAAACAATCACTCCATTCAACAACCATTTTAGAATACTCCAAAAGTGCCAGGCCCTGTATAAATTCAGGGAACACAAAAATGAACATAAACAGCCTCTGCCCTCAAAGATCCCACCCACTGAGCTCCAGAGAGTGCCTCTCCTATCTCCTACAACACACCCTGCTCTGCACTGCCCTCCTCTCTGCCTTCCACCGACCCAAATCCCACCCCACTCCGTGAGACCAGCTCAAGTTCCCCTGACCCAGAGTCCCACGTAGTCCCCAGAGCACTCCTGGCACTTATGAAAGTTGACTTGACTTATACCTCTAGGCCAGGGGTCCTCAAACTTTTAAAACAGGGGGCCAGTTCACTGTCCCTCAGACTGTTGGAAAGGTGGACTATAGTTAAAAAAAAAAAAAAACTACAAACAAATTCCTATGCACACTGCACATATCTTATTTTGAAGTGAAAAAACAAAATGAGAACAAATACAATATTTAAAATGAAGAACAAGTAAAGTTAAATCAACAAACTTACCAGTATTTCAATGGGAACTATGGGCCTGCTTTTAACTAATGAGATGGTCAATGTCCGGTTCCATATTTGTCACTGCTAGTCGTAACAAGTGATGCAAGTGTGCATCAGTTAGTCTAGATCTGGTTGGAGATTTCAGATGTTTCATTCTGGAAAAAGTCTGTTCACAGACATAAGTGCTGCCAAAGATGGTTGCCATTTTGAGTGCATGGTTCCTGAGATTACTGAGAGGAGGAGTCGAGAGACAGAGAGAAGGAGGGGAGTCGGAGAGTGCGACCGCACATTCCACACATGCGCACTGCGGGCAGGTTGAGTCGGCTGCTAGGCAGGACAGGCAGCGGCAGCAAAAACACCCGGTGGGCCAGATAAATGTCCTCGGTGGGCCGCACGTGGCCCGCGGGCCGTAGTTTGAGGACCCCTGCTCTAGGCTTTATAAAATGTATGTCATCTCTCTGTTAGACTTGAGCCTTCCGAAGACAGAGATCACTTTTAGAATTTTCCAGAAAGAAGCCACATCAGTGGTTTATGTCAGACCAAACCCAGGCCTAGCCTGACTCTTCAACTCCAGGACAGTTTCCACTGCCTAGCAGCACAGTCCCTGGTCCCCTGCAAGTGCTTTACAAAGTAGCCAACTCGAAATCGCCTTTCCAACAGGTGAATAGGCCAGGATAATCTGAAAGCTCAGAGAGAAGGAATGGTCAAACAAAAATCAAAAGGGCTTTGACTCACACTTTGTTTCTTTCCTCCTCTCAGGGAAACAAAGTCACACCACCTGTTCTCAGTCCTTCCTGGAGGATTTCAGGGAAGCCTCCCTTGTTAACCTTCCCTTCATCCCCACAAATACCACCCAATAATCAAGCCCAGTCACTCCTCTTTTTGAGCACATTTCCCATAGACTCTGGAATGGCCATCGAGTTTAGTAAGTGCTGATATTTCATAACCCTTAATGTTTACTTTAAGTATTATTATCTTTCTTCTTTTGCCTGGAGCTGTACCAGACCAAAGTCTGGAGCCAGGATCGCTAGCAGTTGGGCAAACACATTTCAAGGGCTCCTTCCCTTCTGGGCTCCTGTTTCTCAAACTTTCTTGAAACTGAAGCTCTGGGGTCTTCCACCAACCCAGTTTCCTCTTCTTCAGAATGAAACAACAAAGCCAAGGCCACCTCCCGACAGATAAACAAGGAGGCCTGGTTCTACCCACTGCTCCAGGGGCAATGTTTTGGGCAAGGGAGAACCGCCTCTTCCCCCAGGTCTTGCTCTGCTGCCACCTTAAGTGGCTACAGAATTGGGGGTATTGTGGCCAGAGCAAGGACAGGGAAACCTCCCAGACAACAACATGACTACTGCTGAGGATGAGGGCAGGAGGACAGTAGGAAACAGACTATGCCATCCTCTGTTTTGCCAATTCTTAGCTCCCATTTCCCTCCTGAATATTCAACTATTGAGGGTCATTGGAAGGTACACGGAAATTCAAATGAAAAAAAAAGATTTGAGGAAGAAATCATAAGGCACGGAGCGGGGCATGGGAGGCGGAAAGGAGCATGGGAGGTAACAAGCATGGCTGCCAAATTATCAGTCACCTTTTCATGTTCTTAAGAATGCTTCATTTCTTTTGTTTGACCAGTTTTACTTCCCAGATTCCCATAAACCACAAGGTCTAATCGGTTACTTAACAGCAAAGCCAGCGTCACCTCATCTGGTTTTGCTCTCAAATGGGAACACTGGTCTAGGACTAAAGCGCAGAGAGCCTGGCAAAGGACCCCGGCCTGAGCCTCTCCAGAGATCAGGAGCCTCTAACTGGGAACCTTCCACACACTCTTCGGGCAACTTACAGCAGCACCAAGAGTCACAATGAATGTTCTCATCTCTTTCCTCCATCTGTTGCTGCCACTAATGCTGATGTCCATGGTCTCTAGCAACCCAAAACCAGGTAAATAAGATTAATCGTCTATGAAGGGGGAAAAGTGGGGAGAACATGTGGCAAAATTTGGCTCCTTTTAGTTACTGGGATTTGCAGCAGGTTAGCCTTTCTCAGTGCCTAGTCCCTCCTTTATAAAAGGGAGAAAAATATACTTACAACAAAATTGTGCTTTGGGAGTTAAATGAGATATTTTATATGAAAGTGTCTGCAACTGTAGCGAGCAAAAAAGAAGCATATATCCATATATAATGATGTGTGTGTGTGTATTTACATACTAGCTTAGCCAAGATTTGCTCCCTTGCCTTCTCCCCAGCCCCTTCCAGAAGGGCAATGCATTTCCCCAGGGCCAAAACTGTAGCAGTGGTAGGAGGGTGTTGAAGGCAGCTGCACATTCATGGAAGAAAGGAAGTTCTTGCTTATAATCTTTATAATCCACTGGACATGCCGCCAACATGTTTTAATGCTATTAATGGTGACACAATCAATGAGAGAAATCCTATCCCCAGGTAGTGTCCATACTTGAAGCTTTAGCCACACCAAGCCCTGCTGTAAAGGTCACATTTTGGGAAGCAGATCTTTGGTTAGGGGTTCTGAATCTGCTCCAGTTTTCTTTCTTTTCTTTTTTTTTTTTTTTTGAGTTGGAGTCTCACTCTGCCGCCCAGATTGGAGTGCAGTGGCCACTCCCGGCCACCGCAGCCTCAACCTGCTGGGCTCCGGCAATCCTTCTGCCTCAGCCTTCCGAGTAGCCGGAATTACAGGCATGCGCTACCACGCCCGGCTAATTTTTTATTTATTGTGGAGATGAGGTCTTGCCAAGTTGCCCAGGCGGGTCTCGAACCCGCGGGCTCAGGCAATCCACTCACCTCAGCCTCCCAAGGCACGGGATTACAGGCTGAGCCACCGAGCACGGCTTGCTCCAGTTTTCATTCCAGCCACAGTGGCCCAGCCCGTCCAGAGCAACCACACAGAAGACAGTTCATCCTGATGTATATTACCTCTTGGGATCACCATCTCCCCAAGGGCTACTTGGAGGGAAAGAGCTTTGTCACATACTCAAGTCAGAAGTTCCCCCCCGCCCCTCCCAATTTCCAACTTCCTTCCTTTGGAGAGAGAGCTCTCTGAAGCTGCTGAGCCCCACAGCCCTAGAGCCAAGACCACATTCTGGAAGGGAAGCCTTTTCCATCACCATGACAGACACCAAGGCTAGAGTCCTCAGCCTGGATCGAAGCTCTAGCCCAACCTGCCTTTCCAAGGCAACCCCTCCACTCACCAACAAAAACTTTCTGTTCCAGCCAAACTAGATGTTTGCTCTTCCCTGGACAGGTCTTGCGTTTTCCCATCAACTCGACTTTTCTCATACACCCAGCTCCAAAACCACCTCCTCCCCACAGCCACCCTAGATTCCTCCCACAACCAGACATGTGCTCTCCCTCCCGTGAGCCTGCTCAGTCCTACTAGACGCTCTCTTCTTGCACTTAGCGTCTCTTTGGACTTTTTTTGGGGGGAGGGGATGGCGGGGTTGGGATCTCACTTCATCACCCAGGCTGGAATGCGGTGGCATGATCATGAACATCATGGCTCATGCAGCCTCAGCCTCCTGGGTTCAGGCAATCCTTCCACTTCAGCATCCCGAGTAGCTGGGACTACAGGAACAAACCACCACATCCGGCTAATTTCTTAATTTTTTGTAGAGACGAGATTTCTCTATGTTGCCCAAGCTGGTCTCAAACTTCTGACCTCAAGTAATCTGCCCACCTCTGGCTGGTGTGATGGCTCATGCCTGTAATCCCAGCGCTTTGGGAGACAGAGGCAAGAAAATTGCCCGAGTCCAGGAGTTCGAGACCAGCCTGGGCAACTTGGCGAGACCTCGTCTCTACAATAAATCAAAAAATTAGCTGGGCATGGTGGCACACACCTGTTGTTCCAGTTACTTGTAAGGCTGAGGCGGAAGGATTGCCTGAGCCCAGCAGATCGAGGCTGCAGTGGCCAGGAGCATGCCACTACACTCCAGCCTGGGCGGCAGAGTAAGACTCTGACTCAAAAAAAAAAAAAAAAAATCTGCTTGCCTCACTCTCCCAAATACTGGGTTTACAGGCATGAGCGATGGTGCCCAGCCTTCTGCCTTATACTGAAGGCTTTTGCCTGTCTCTCCTGCCTCCACACCCTACCATTCTAGACTGTAACCTCCTTGGCTGCACACACTGGTACATTGTTTCCTTATCCCTCACACTATCCAGCACAGCTCCTGGCAAACATTAACTAAGTGAAGAATAAACCCTCAGGTTTCCAGTTCAAAATTTTGCCCTTTTAGACTCTACGCCAGGGTTCCATTTACACTTGGGGCTCAATAATTCCTTGCTCTGAGGGTTGTTCTGTACATTGTAGGATGTTTAACAGCACCTGTGTGACCTCTATCCACTAGATGCCAATAGCAGCCCTCTCCCTCCCTCAACCCCTGGCTGAGGGAAAAGAGCCAAAAATATCTCCACACATTGCCAAATGTCCGCTGGGGGGAGCCAGCCACCCCTGGCTGAGAACCACTGCTGTATACCAGTAGTTCTCAAACCTGGCTAGTCATTTAGACTCACCTAGACATTAGACTCAGCCTCAAAGTCAGGGAGACCTAGGCCCAAATCCTGGCTCTGCCACTCACTTTGCAACCGTGGGCGAGTCACTTCACTTTTTTTGAACCTCAGTTTTATCTTTTTTTTTTTTTTTTGAGTCAAGAGTTTCACTCTGTCACCCAGGCTGGGGTGCAGTGGCACACTCACAGCCACCGCAGCCTCGATATGCCAGGTTCAGGTGATCTTTCTGCCTCAGCCTTCCAAGTAGCTGGAACCACAGGCACGCACCACCACACCCAGCTGATACTATCTATCTATCTATCTATCTATCTATCCATCTATTTTAGAGATGAGATCTCACAAGTTTCCCAGGCTGGTCTCAAACCCCAGGGCTCAAGGCACTCCTCTCACCTCAGCCTCTCAAAGTGTTGGGATTACAGGCATGAGCCACCACGCCTGGCAGTTTTATCATTTTAAAGTGAATAAAATACCACTTCTCACATGGACTTGCTGTGAAGAGGAAGTGATCTACAATGTGTGCCTAGAAAGTGTTCAGTGAATAGACTGTGTGAAATTTCCTTTTTTAAAAAATTTTCTTTTATTTGTTTATTTACTTATTTTATTATAAAGATGTGGGGTACAAATGTTGATTATGCAAGTACCTTTATTGATGAGGTTTGCCCCTCCCTCCCCTAGCAGTTTCCCTCAACTGCCAATCCCAACCCCCTTCCCTGACAGTTTCCCACTACTGCCAATCCCTTTCTTCTAGGGCTGGGGAGTGAAATTTCCACAGCAGTTCCTTAAGCACAAGGGGAGGAACTGAGAAAACCGCACTGTGCCGCCAGGGGGCGCAATCTCAAACACTTCGGAGGGGCGGAAGCAGGGCTTGAGCCTTGTTTCCCAAAGTTTTGCAGTGTGGTCCTAAGTATGATAATCAGGGCTAGAGGAAATGACACCCCCACCCCCATAATGATTCTCAAAATAAAGTCTAATTACTTCTTAAGATAACCACATATAGGCTCAATATGTTTTTCACAAGGGAGAGGAAAAAAAGAAATATAAAAATAAATAAATAAATAAAAATAAAAAAATTAAAATTAACTTTTCGTTTTGTTTTTTTGGTTTTTTTTTGAGTTGGAGTCTCACTCTGTCGCCCAGACTGGAGTGCAGTGGCCGCTCCCGGCCACCGCAGCCTCGACCTGCTGGGCTCCGGCGATCCTTCCGCCTCAGCCTTCCGAGCAGCTGGAACTACAGGCGCACGCTACCACGCCCGGCTAATTTTTTGATTTATCGTAGAGATGAGGTCTCGCCAAGTTGCCCGGGCGGATCTCAAACCCGCGGTCTCAGGCAATCCACTCACCTCAGCCTCCCAAAGCGCGGGATTACAGGCTGAGCCACCGAAGCCAGCTTAAAATTAACTTTTAATTTTTCAGGTCAAAAAATATTATTTAAGGAGTTCTAGTATATCCTTCATCCATTTTTTCAAATAGTATCTTATATAACCGTAATATGATTATCAAAACCAGGAAGTTAGCACTGATACAATACTATTAACTATCTATAAATATTCAAAGTTTGCTAATCATCCCATTAACATCCTTTTTCTGATTGAGTCCAATCCAGGATCCCATACTGAATAAAATGTCCCATCTCCTCAGTATCCTCTACCCTGAGAAGCCTAGGGTAGCTTCTCGTCTTTCCTTAACTTTCATGACCTTAACACTTTTTAATGAGTTCTGGCTAGTTGTTTTGTAGAATGCCCCTCAATTTGGGTTTGTCTGAAGTTTCCCTGTGATGTTTCAGGTTACACATTTTGGGCAAGAATACCACAGAAGTAAGTGTCCTTCTCTGTACATCACATTAGAGGCCCAGGGTCTCAATATATCTCCTTACTGTTGATGTTAACTTTAAGCACTTGTTTCAGGTGTCTGTCAAGTTTCTATACTGTGAAGTTACTATTTGTTCCATTGTAATTAATAAGTATCTTGTGGAGAGATACTTTGGGTCTATGCAAATAACCTGTTTCTTCTCGTCATACTTTTATCCATGAACTTTTAGAATTCATTGATAATTATTGCCAATTAACATATATTACATAGACAAATAATGATTTTCTATTTCCATTATTCCTTCTACATTTATTAATTAGAATTCTACTATGAGAGTGATTCCTCCCTCATTTATTTATTAATCCCATTGTTTCTTTTTCTCAGTAAGGACTCATGGGTATTTATAGGTTACAATCCATTACTATCATTATTTACTATGTTGCTCATATTGCCCCAAAACTGACCATTGGAAGCTTCTTCTAGTTGGTTTCTGTGCCTTTTGACATATCCCCACAATCTTTTGAGCAATTCCTTACTTTCTGGCACCACGAGATGTTCCAGGCTCAACTTGCTCTTTCGTGCCCCTGCCTTGGAATCAGCCATTTCTCCAGGGAGT